AAGTAAAAGATTTAGTATATATTCACGTATGTTAATAAAGTAATCAGAGTGCAATAAAAATAGATTATAAAATTTACGCTGATGCAACTTTTTGTCCGACTGCGCAACATGTAATGGAAGAGAAGGCTTGTAGAGATCTGTTTTTGACATGCCTCTAAAAGTAGATGTCATACTCCTTTTGTCTCTTCAATGTCAAAAAAACTTTCCTTTGAGAGGCAACTTTAGTTTTTCGGAAAGAAAAAAATCACAAGAAGACAAATTTGAAGAACATGCAGGACGATTGAGTACACATGCTTATTTTCGGAACACAAGCGGTTCTCCGACTGGTTATTGAATAATGAAAAGATGCATTGTCATGCAATACAAAACATTCGGAATAGGTTTTCTGACTGAAAACGTAAGATTAAAAGTCATCTGCTTAATTCACAGTCATTTACAAGTCAACTACTCGGGCAATTGCAGAATCGTTTTGATCCTGAGCTGGTAAGACAAACCTAATATCACTGGATTTAAACACTTCTTTAATCTTCCGAGAACGTTCCTTCTTTAGCTCATATTCCAAGAATATTAAGTGAATACAATTATTCCAAAAGCAATTGAATATTCGTTTGCATTACAGCTTTGTAGTTTACTAACGAGTTAACAAAACTTAAATTCTGCTTTTTGTGTCTAACAATACAACAATATTTTAAATATTTAGAAATAAAGTATTAAATTGGAGCCTCACCAGTTGCCTAGCATTGAAGATTGTTAAATACTAATTGTTTGTTGCGAAGTCTAACCCAGGCTGCATAGTTGGTTTTCGTAGTTTTCTAGGTTCTCTTTACAAAGGTTCTCTATGAAAGCATCTTAATCAAATAGCTCCCATGTTCTTTCTATGTTCAAATAACCAACTAACCTAGTTTAAGCGCGATTTCTAAGTGAAGTTACTAGCAAAACCCGAATACTCATTAAAAATCATGTAGCTTGCCAATCGGGAGTAACATGAAAGATACGGCGCCAATAATTGAAATTGCTGCTACGGTAACGCTGTTTCTAAACTTAGATGGTCGTTCCTTAATTAAATAGCCCACCAGCGGCTGAGCGGTAAAGACGCTGAACACTGGTAGTTCGGTCCGAGGTTCGAATCCCGCGAACGGGCTGGCTGCATGGGCGTTTTCGTGGTTTTCCCCATGTGTAACGTGTATACGAGCCAGTTTCCCTTAGAAAGTCCTCCACGAAGGAATCCCTCCCTTTAGGCAAATAACCCTCGTATGCTTTACGATAATTAAATAATCCAATTCAATCCAATCCAATCCTTAATTAAATGTAATTGATTTGTAACTTCTACTAGAGCTGACGGTTAGAATTGAAGTATAAATAAATAATATCATGTGCAATATTTGCAATTTATAAGAAGGATTTATTAATAACCGTAATAATTACTTATTATATTACTAATGATTAGGATTCAGTTCTTGACAATTACATTCTAAATTAGAATTTTAAGAATATAATGAAAATACGCTATGCACAAAAATACATTTTAAGATAAAAAAATGTGTTGATTTTTTATGTTTTAAAACTTCTTGAATTCATTTAATAAACATCGTATCCTTGTTGTTAATTGAATCCAGAATGTTGGGTGTCGTTTATATAATTATTCTTACTTGTCCACAGAATCTGCCTGACTTATCCAGCCATTAAGTAGCTGCAGATCATTTCTACATAACCACTGAACTTCCACTTAATTCAGTCTCTAGAGGGTTGTATGTTTATATCATAATTTGACTTTTATAAAAATGATTATTCTAAATCTTATGCTTCTATAAAAATATACTGTGCTTTAAAAATATGTATCAGCCGCTCTTTCAGCCACTTCAAAAGCAACAGTTTGTTTTTAGAAATAAATTATGCAGTTACTGTCATAAAATTCAAATAAACATGAAAATTTTGAATAAAAAAGCCTAATTTTTTGCAGATATGCTTAAAAATACACCTACTTTAAGGTGATGGTAAAAATTTTATAGGTTATAATTCAAAATTTTTTTCGAAAAATTTATAAAAATTATTTTAAAATAGAAATTTTAAAAATAAAACACAAAAATGGTTAAATTTTATTTGGAATGAACCTAAATTTCGAAATGTGACAGAAAAATCAAAATAATTTAATAAAAAAAAGAGATATTAATAAATATTGCCAAATTCAATTAACATTGAGGAGCTAAAATTTTGAGAGCTGATATTTTAAAAACTACTCGTACGATTTTTACAAAACTTGGTTTTCTGGCATAATTTGAGTCGTAGAATTGAAATATGGAAAAAAATTGTTATGTTATTTCAGAAAAAGTCCAATTTTGTGTCAAAATACCTATGTTAGAATAGTGCTATATATAAATCTAATATATATCCTAAGTCGCGCTTTCCAGACATGAAAAACGCAGGTTGAATTTTGTCAATCGGCCCAGTAGAACGGGAGATACAGCACTGTCCCTTTTTTTTTTTTTTTTTTTTTTTTTGAGCAGTGTACATATACTGAATGGCCAAATATTTAGTGACTGCATGCATGTTACTTCCTCAATAATTTCAGTATTCTCATCAACACCTCTAATAAATAATATTAATTAAGCAGTGTCATTTATATCAGTGCCTTTATCCATAGCTATGGAGTAGAATTAAAACTGACCAGTCTGGAATTCTGACTGGGATGTCAGATTTTTATTTATGTCTTCGACTGTAGAAGGCATCATTTTTTTAGTCTCAAAATCTTTTTTCAGAAAAGGTAAAAAAATATGTGCTACACTTTATCTACTACTTTATTATCTCATTTGATTTTGGTTAAAATAGATTTGAAATTCATTCTGTACAAGCAGAAAGAACAGAGGAAATTTTATTAAACTTTGGTATATGTAATTAGATCAATAATATATTTTTTTGTTTGGACATAAAACATCGCAAACTTGGAGCATGCACTGCTTAACAAACTTCTCTGAGAGCTTTATTACTTTTAGCAGTATTGTATGCTACAATGAAACTTGTAGCTGCTTCCTGAATATGTTTACTTTCTTAAAATAAATTTGTTGACCTAATAATTCCTTACAAAGATTTCCTGCTTTTTGTCTTCTTTCATATTTAGCCATTGCTTCATAACTACAATTTTTATGCTTTGATATCGTGGAAAATGGTATATTCTCTGAAGATTATTACAGCTTCCACATGAGATACACTGGTTTATCTTTTACAACTGTAATAGATAGATATAAATTCAGGTCTGTTAGTCTGTAAACTACTTTGTTTTTTTAATAGACATTTTGGGGTTGAAATATTTTATGAATATCCACAATAACCTAAGCAAGCACTGGTAGCACTATACTTTGTAATAATTTTACCACTGCTCACAATGATGCTATCCGTCTGTCAGCTTTCCATTTAATGATAGATGCAATTAGTAATATTAGACAGACAAGTATAGAAAGACAGTCATCTTTTTGCTATATGGTGCCATCTGTTATCCTTCTTCTTAAATATCTGCTATTCAACTAGCAAAGATAACCTATAAACAATAAACTAGATTTGTTGTGATAATAATGAACTAGACTTTTTATAGGTAGAAACTGAACTTTCCACGTTGATTAAAAAAGGAAAAGAAACAAAAACAGGAAAAAAGAAAAAGAGTACTTTTTTTTTAGGGATTCAATAAATATCGCTTTCTGGGAAATTTTCAGAGGGAAATGTAAATCTTGTGATACTTCTCTGTGCATGTGCCACAACACAAAAAAAAAAAAAGCATTGAGCAGTGTCAATGAAATGAGACCTTTTTCTACATTAATTCATTTTCTGCCTCGATCATGTGGCATCCCTTTCTGTTTTGACACTAGCTCTGTGCAATGTATATTACACTATATAGTAATATAATAATACTTAAAATATAATATTATATATTGTATAGTAATGTATGATATCAATATATTTTTTAATTTTCGGCAGGCCAGATAAAACTTTCAGGCAGGCCGTAGTTTTCCCATCCCTAGTTTAGATGCAAATGAGTCTTCTTGCACCCATGATCATGCTTTATTCAAAATCATTCAAATTTCTCGTCTTACCCATTTCATAATAATTGTAGTAATATTTGTTCTTAAGATATTAATGTGCTTTATCTAAACAATTGCTATCTGTAAGTCACAAAGTAGTCTAGTTAAAAAGAGATAGGTTCTGTAATAGTTTGGCCACTCACTGTATACACACACATAACATATATCTTTTGTTTCTTCATTTTTAAAAAACTGAAATGTTTCATTTTAATTTATGAAAATAGAAAAGTTTTGGATCATAAAAGTATATTCAGTATTCTTAAGCTCTCCAATTTTACTTTCTGGATTGATATTTTGAAAGTGTTATAAAAAATGTGCTAGCTTGTTGCTTTGCGTCACTACATGTTATGTGTTTATAGAATTAACAATCTTATTTCTGTACATAAAGTAATTCTTGACGTCTTATACATGGGTATTTTCCTTTTACCAGGGTAGTAGTCCTTTTGGAAGTGGCGAAAATTTGTACAAGCACCTTTCTGATTCAAGTAGGCCTGAGGATACTGTTGGTTTATCTGTTGGTAAATATAAATGTGATACTAAAATAAATCAAGCTTTTAATACTTTAAAACTACTGAAATATTAAATAAACTTATTATAAAATTCATGGAATGCATCTTGCTCTGTGAATATGGTAAAAATAGTGTAGAATGTTTCATAATATGTAATCTTTTTTTATTACTCATTTTTGAAAAATCTGTTTCTCACTGAATTCCAGGTGCACTGAGAAAAATGACATAAGCAGACTACCTCTTTTAAAAGTATTTTAAATTTTTATAGGTTGACCTTTCTTTTCCCTTGCTTTAATGAACAAAAATAAAGAATAGCAATAGAAACATGGTAATGTAAAGTTTGAAATTTGAAAAAAAAAGTAATTTTACTTTGGCACTGATCAGTTTTGAGGGCAATTAGATACAGAGTTAGTTCTCTTCACCAGAAAAAAAATTAATTTATGAAAACTGGGATGAGCAACAAATGTTTTATGTAGAAATCAACGGGTGAAGCAAAGCAGAAACAAATGTAATATAATCTATCGAGGAAAATAGTAATGAGATATGAAAAACTTTATTTATTAGAATTTTGAAAGCATTGAGAAGTGGATTGGAATTTAATGTAGCAATTTCCTCTGCAGCCAAAACTAATCATAGTAGGCACTTAATCACAATTTTGACTTTAGTTCAGTGAAATTTATCCATAAATCTCCTTCAGTTGATAAATTGACTTTTTTTAATCATTTTCACACCCATAAAATTCATCTTCTTTAGTAAATGACATTAATTCCAATCTAGTTCTTCTCAATCCTTTCAAAATTCTAATAGCTTAGCTTTACCATGTTTCTTCATTTATTTTCTTCAACATTTTCACTTTGGCCCACCCAATGATTTCTGTGTAAAATGGTTGTTGTTCCTTTTACCTTTGAAAAAAAAATTTTTTTTTTTTTTTTTTTTTTTTTTTTTTTTTGTTTCTGAAGAAGAGAGTTCTCTATCAAAGTTGTGAAAGTTTTATTCTAAATCATTCAAAACATAAGGTGGCCTTTTTCACCTTATTTTAGATTAAAGAATTATGCTGAAATGTACTTTTATTTTAAGACTACTTATTAGTTTAATTTTTGGTAATGTATGCTTTTTTATTATTATTATTATTATTAATGCTTAAATCATTCTCATTTTAGCAGTTTGTTACTTTGACTTGTATTTCTGTTTCTGTCATTAATGTTTTACATATTATCTATTATGAAAGCAATTTTAAAAATTTATTTATATTTTCTGACTAATTAGGAATATGTCATTTCTCTGTAAATAGTTCAGACTCATTTCTAAATTGAATACTTTAAACATTTAAAGTAAATGTCTTTATCATTGCATTCAATATGAATTTGTATATCTGATATATGGAGTTTCAGCAAACTTACCTAGCAAAATGGTAGTTTTACCTAAATGAACTTCTGCCCAAAAGAGAAACTATTTATAGTTCTTTTATTTGTCTGTTTAACTTTTATTTTTTATTTTAACTTCTAAGTATATTTGTGTTTTTGTATAAAGTGTTTTGTATAATAAAGTCCAAGATCAATTTTCAAATAAAGCCTTGATAAAGAAATAAAAGCACATTATTCTGTTTTATTATAACTAAAAGTGTAAAATAATTAGTAATTTCTAGGGATTATACTAAAAAAAGGGAGGGGTTATTCCTTCACGATTTTATCATCTGATAACATAACTATTTCCATATATGTATGTTTTCTCTGTTTCCTTCATGCTTACATGTATGAGGAACTTAGGAGCAATATTAGGGTGAATTGCTGAATAGTAAAGAGTTAGCCCATGCATAGCATTCAGAATAAGAGTATTTCAGTGAGAAGGAGGGCAAATAGAGAAATCATGATTATGTTTGTGTTCTAAAAGAATTTTCTTCTAATTAGTGCACACTAATACTCAAAGTAAAAATGAAGTGATTAAATATCTAAATTTAAATTGTTACATTCATAATTTAAACAATCTGTACTGAATATCTTATTATATATTATTTTTACTGCCAGTGCAACTGTTTTAGGAAATTTCTTAAATATTGAGGTATATTTGGTCAATTCTTTTATTAAAATATTAATTTATTAGTCTCAAACCTAACTTTTTTTAACCAAATTACCTTTCGGATTAACAGATGCCACCACATAAATTAATCCTAGAGGAAAAACAAAAACTTTCTGCTCTAAATTAATCATATTGGTCGAGGTTGCAAGAGTTTACTTGAAGCATTTTTCAGAATATCATACTATCCGAAGTTTCGTAGCTCTTAAAGCAAGCAAAGAAAAAAATTTTTTTTTCCATTACATGAGAGAATAAGATATTAAAAGACAGAATATTTAATAGGAATAAATACAAGAACAAATCGATCAGCTGCAATGTTAGCGAGAGCATATAAATCTGTTTAAAAAAAAAAAAAAGAAAGAAAGAAAGAAAGAAAAACTCTTGGCCAATGTTAAAATCTATGTTAACATGTTTGTTAGTTGAGTTTGTTTTCATTTTTAATAGTTATTTTAACTGAATCTGCATATTCTGTAGCAGGGTCTAGTAAAAGTAGTACAAATAGCAGCCCATCAGACGTTCAGCACCGTGCATCACCTGGCAGTGAAAAGGAATGTCATGAAAGAGGACAGATGCAAGAGTCACATTGCAGTAAGTTTATTTCATTGAATTGTGTGAAAAAAACTGTATTCTTGCTTATGTTGTTTGTTTGTTTGTTTGTTTGTTTGTTTTGTTTTGTTTTGTTGTTGTTGTTGTTGTTAGAGGGTAGGGAGGAAGGGTTGAACACCTTATCTCAAACTCCATATTTCTTTTGACATATTTTTACTTAAAGATAAAATATTTTCAAATAATATTCAGAACTTTTTCCATTGCATTAATTTGCATTATATTATAGTCTAAAAACTATTATGCGTATATAAATTGTTTATAAAGTTAAATTTAAGTCTGTGTAAAATATTATGCCTCTCTGGCTGTTGGATGTGTCTCACAATAAAATTTTTGAATAATTTTGAAATCCTGCATTTTTTTCAATCACAAAGTTGCTTGTAAATAAATTGACAGTGTCCACTTAATTGACGTTAAATTTTTAAATTGAACTTCAATATTTTGAAAATTTGTGGTATAAATTGAAAATTTGTGATATAAATTAATAGTGCTTATTATATATTGCTGTAAAAGAAGTTTTACAAAAGAATACCGTGAGAAAGTTAAGAAAAGGCATTGTTTTTCATTCAAGCAAGATTAAAATATTCTTGATCTCTATTAATAGAAAAATTTTGTTTTAGATCTTCCATATGTATAGGATCATAGTCTTCCATTTTTATATCTTTTGTATGAAAATATGCTACCTTCATGTATGTTTGTTTTCTGATTATTAATATGTATATCTGCTTATCCATTCCGACCAAATTAACTAACTTATGTGAACTAGAGATTGAATAATTGGTGACTAATATTTGTTGAGTTTAAAATCTAGAAATTAGAAGCAGGGAAATTTTTTATTATTCTTTGATATCTGTGATTATCTGGAATTTTTAATTATTCATGTTTTTCATTATTTTAAACAAGTTTATCTTTCTTCATCTACTTTTAATATGTCTTAAGTTCATATTTAGTTTGTTATTAGAAGTTGGCATATTCCACGTTGTCTACTCTAAACAAAGTAATCAAACACTGACATTTTTATTTTATAAATTGTTAAGTTTTTTCTGCTCTATTTCACTTAATAAAATGTTTATTGCAGCTATAAAAAATATTAAATTCCATACTATAAGAAGTACATATCTTGATTTTTAAGTTATGTTACATCACAGTCTTAGACTTCCTTACATCTTTATAATTATTAAATACAATAGGCTTTATTGACAGTTCAGTGTATTAACTTCATAGAGAGAATTCAGTATGATCGGTGAGTTTTCTACAAAAGTTGAAAATATTACTATACAATCTAAAATTTTGCATGTTGAAAATTTAATCGTATCTGTTCATGTTTCTCTCCATTAAAGTTTCAAATTAACTATATTAGACTCAGAAGAAAACAAATAAGTGTATGTGATCATTTTATTTACGATTTTATTATGTATATTACAATATATTTTCAAATATAAGCTAAGTGAGGTGAAATTTTGCTGCAAAATTTCAGCTGAAATTAAAAAACAAGTATGTAATTTGAATTTTAAATTACTCTATAAATTCAGCTATATGTCATCAAAAGTGCAAATATTTAGTCTAAGAACTTAACTAGATTGCCAGAAATCTTAGATTGATCCTTAAAAACATTGTTTCATTAGTAATGCTGTGGATAGAACTGAAGATGATGTATGATGCACAAAGTGAGTGAGTGATGATGTCAGTCGAAAAATGGATACTGATACCATTCACCTGGGCTTGTATATAACAGAAAGAGACTTCTGAAAACTGCTAGAAAGTTCTGAATCAGATAATGATATTGAGAAATTTGACTCATGTATTAGGATTGAATATTTTTTTTTTTTTTTTCAGTTTCTTCAGATTATTAATATTTTTCTAGTTCAGGCGGGATTGACATTAATAACTTTTGTTGTTCCTCCATTTTATCCATGTATTACTGTAGACATGAGTTGTTTCATAAAATGTTCTTTGACAGTTAGATTTGTACTTTACCTATTTAAAAGATAAATAAAGTATCTAAAGTTTTTCTTGCAAAGTATCATAACTGACAAGGAAACCATTTGATTTGTGTCTTGTTTGTAATTTTGTCAACAACTTCTATGAGAACCATTTTCATTCATTCTTAATCTACATTTAAATGCATTGATTGTAATTTTACTATATATTTTATGTATAGATGTTCATATAACTCCATCTCCTGAAAGTTCAGAACATGAAGAAGCTACTGATATGTTCAGAAGTATTATCAATGCCAAGCGAAATATTTTGTTTTCACGTATAACTAGTGTTGAATCCGAGGTATGTGAAAAATCCTTTCATTTAATGTACTTTTTTTTTATATGCACTTCCGCCAGTTTATTATAGAATTTAATGAAAATAAATTATCTTAATTTAGTCAATTTATAGTTATATATATATACATCTGATGTTTAGCCATGTCTAATAATGCTGAATATACATCAGAACTTTGACATAGATATTATAACACATGTATGAAAAACTTCTAAAAGCATCGCAATTTCTTATTAACACTACATTTTTTTTTCCTGCCCTCATGTACATTAGAACATTTTTGAATCAATCAAATACTTCTTAGAAGCAAATCATTGATTATCAAAGTTGATTAAATTTGTGATTATCCTCTCCTTTTTGTGTGGGCTGTCTAAATTTTCTCTTCAACTGCTAAAGCAATAGAAAATGTTTTTCAAGATAGTAGTACCCTTTGTTCTGAATCACTGACATTACAAATATTAAGTGCATTTTTACGAATAAAAGTGTAGAATTGTGATAAAAGGCATGTTTTATAACCATTCATGTTATAACATGGATTTTTAAAGTATTTATTTTTAATTTACCATGATAGTTAATATAGGGTTAAGGAGAATTCTTTGCTTGTCTTGGCTATTTTTCTTAAATTCAATTTTAAATTTTCAGAAATCTCAGACATGAATGTATACAGTTTAGGTCATAATCATCAAAGATATTATCTGTTATTTAGAATATACCATTGTAACTTTAAAAATAATAAGAATAGATGGTATGTGTTTTTGTTGTATAATGAAAACATTTTTTTAGTATTGATAATGTCTGTAAAAAATTTCTTTTTGTGTTAATATTTAATTTTATGATGAGCTTTACATTGCACAGATTTTTGCAATGCAATTTTAATATTAAATTAAGTTTGAGTAAATTTTTTGTCACATTTGCAGTTACTTACGTTTGCTTTGTTACTTACATATTTTTTTTAATATATTGATTTTTTCATTAGGCACAAAACCACTTATTTTCCAGTTTTCTGTTACGTTTCTCTTCGCTGTTTTTTTGAAATACATCTGTATCATTTAGGTGTCAGAAACTGGGACTGCTTTAAGTCAGGGATCGGACCAAGCAGTTCCAAGTTGTAATGCCAGTGATACTGGAAGTATGACAACAAACCCTACTTATTATAGAAACCTTAGGATAAACCAAAATTCCTTCAGGTCAACAGTCTCAGATAGTGAAATAGAAGCAGGGAATGTAAGTTATATTTAACTTAATAGGATTCAAATAGTTTGATTGTTTGGGAGCTGTAGTTTTGGAAAGCAGTTTATTTATACCGTTCAGTTATTGGTCTGTTTAATTGCTATGTCTTTTCAAATTTAATTAGCATTCATTGAAGGAAATAGTTTGCAAACATGTAATCTTTGTATGATTGTGAGTTAAATATATATAATATATATATATATATGTATGTATGTATGTATGTATATTTTATTTTATTTTATTTTATTTTATTTTATTTTTTTTTTTTTTTTTTTAAGCTTTGCACAGCAAATAGTTTCTTATTTGCTTTTTTAACTGAAGAGCTTTGGTATGCATGGTAGAAGAAATTAAGTTATTTAGAATCACATGCATGTCATTTTCTTTATTTTTCTTTTATTACTTTATTTTTATTATTTTTGTTATGTGTGCTCTTATTTAATACTCAAAAATTAAATCATTGTTTAAAGCAGAATTTATAAAATATATCTCAAAATATTGGGGCAAAATTGTTTTCCCTCCCAAACCAGACTAAAGAGGTTTTTTTTTTTTTTTTCATTGTAGTGTTTTCCACATAATACCTTTAAAATAGTACTGATAAATTTTATACGTATATGTGCCTAATATGTTTTATGTAATTTTATGCTTTGTCAAATTACATTATATTCATTTTAATTCTTCATAAAGTAATTTTAAATGTTATCTTTTTTTAAAAGTTTCTCAATAATCGACAAAAAAGAGCCCCAAGCATATGGAGTAGTAAAAGCAGCCTAAGCACAGGGTTCAGATATCACGGAGGAAGTATGATAAACACTTCATCAAACACAGTAAATGAACCAACCCGAACATATTTGTTTGAAGGCTTAGTTGGAAAAGATAGATCAACATTATGGGATCAGATGCAGTTTTGGGAAGATGCATTTTTAGATGCTGTATCTCAGGAAAGAGATATAGTTGGAATGGATCAGGGTCCTGGTGAAATGATGGAGAGGTACTTTCTTTAGTTTATTTCAACAAATTTAGATATATATATATATGAATGGTCATAAATTAAAATGTTGAAAATTATTTCTTTACTTTTATAGATATCAATCACTGTCTGATATGGAGAAGAAGCGATTAGAGCATGATGAAGATCGGTTGTTGTCCACAATGTTGTACAATACAGTTGCATTTATGGTTATGGTGAATGTAAATAAGCAAGAAATTAGAAGAAAAATTTGCCGGTTATTAGGAAAGTGTCATATTAGTCTTGTGTACAGTGCAGAAGTGAATGAGCTGTTGGATCAAATAATAAAACTTGTAAGCATTAACATAATTTTTTTACACTTAATTATTAAAAGTAAAGTTTTTATTAAATTGTTAATATTTTTTTTTTCCTTTTTAAATAGTACATTCAAGATGAAATACTTGCTTTATTGGTTATCTTTTTTTTTTTTTTTTTTTTTTTTTTAGCATGGTAATGATATTGATTTGAAACCACTTGGGAGCAGACAAATGCATCGTCAGTCTTTTACTGTGCACTGTGGTGTGGATGCTACTGGTGACATGCTTTTTATGGAGGTGATTATTTATTATAGTTAATCTTTTTCTTAACATTTCAGTTATACTCTATGTCTGTAAAAGTCCTAATACAATCTATATTTTTGGAGCCATTAATCATATATACATAATTCCAATTAGAAAAAGTTTCAAATGCTTGCAAATTTTCATGTTTTTTTAATATTTGTAAAAGTAATGAAAGATAACCTTTTATGTGGTCCTTACGTCTTTATACTTATATTTTTGTTGTATAAGAGTCAAAACTTTTGTGTTTCATTTTTAGAATGAATAAAAAATTTTGTTAATTATGGAAATTTAGAGGATTATAAAAAAAAAAAAAATTAAATCTCATAGTTTATACAATTGATTATTTAGAATTTTAAAATGCCATTACATGTATGCTTTTTATCTAAAGCATTTTTGTAATTTTAGGTTATGGCTACAATTGTTGGTTGTGAAAATAAATGCAGCATATGAAATTTTATAGGCTCAGTGTACATTTCATTTTTAGTAAAGCTTTTCAGCCATTTATTTGCTAACTATAGAACTATTTTAAGGTAGTTTTATATTTATGAAACATCATTATTAGTCTTAAATACCTACTGTGTACTCTAAAGGGACATGCAAAATAAAAATTTTGGAAAATAATTATAATATTCCTGTCAGAAATCGAAAGCAAAATGAAAAAGGAAAAATTTTCAGAATTCTTTTTAAAAAGACTTTTGTTACATTTTTTTAAATGCTACTTGATATGATAGATTTGTTTTTTTAAATGAATGTATTTTTTTTTACTAGTAGTTGTGTCATGTTATGTTTCTCCAGTTTATGATAGTTTTCTTAGTATGTAGGTTATTCTATAGCAGGATGATACCATTTTAGCTTTTTCAGTCCATATTTGTATAGCAAATGTGAAAATCTGTGTCTGGGTATAATAAGGATTAATTTGAATTTAATCTAGTGTTATTGATAAAATAAGCATTTTCTCCGAGAAAAAATAAACTACATCATGGCTTGTGAGATAATTTTATTTTTTAAATACACATATAAATCACAGTCATCTACAAAATTTTAGGATTAATCTTGAACTAAATCAAAAAGCTGAGTCCTTGGATGTTTCTGTAACATTTTTCTCATTCATACAGCTGCTTAGTTCATTTCTAGAAGTCATCTTTTGTTTTTAATCTTTGTCTCTGATCATACATTTTAAGTCTTTTGCTATTAAATAAATCAGTGCCATTACAATAATAATCTTTGAAAGTAGATTTTGCTTTAGAGAAAGCAGAATATGCTAAATGTGTTGAATAAGCTGGATAGTTGAGAGTTATAAAACTTTTCTTCTATACAAACTGTAATTGCCAGAAGATGGCATTGTAAAAAAGTTGCTGATAGAGGGCGCATGATTGTAATCAAGAATCGGTGAGTCTAGAGAATGTGAGCGAGGTGACATATTTCTGAACTAAACATAAATAAATATATGTAAATATTTAGTGTAGTAATAAAAGAATTTATAAAACACTGCAGTCACCCTGCAGAGTAAAAGGTAAACACACAGCCATCATCCTGACAATTTTATAACAATCAGAAGTGGGTTTGATGTGGATTAAAAAGCCTATCAAATGACTCGCGTACCATGAGCATGGAAGAAGTGGTAAGTTTCGATTTAAAAAATTTGAACTGTAGAATAATTATATTGAAATACCACTGATGATTATAACGGAGTATAGAATCACTTTGTTAGTTATCATCATGGATGAGAATACTAAGAAAGCTTTAGATAAAGTGAAAATGAAATGCAAAACTCTAAGAAGGTTAACAATATGAGTAATTAACAGAATATCTGAATTATTGGAGCAGGATAATGTAGATATAAAATCATTAGGAGAGTGTGAGATGAATCTACAAGAAAAAGCAAATCAGATGTTCAAGTTAGATCTGAAAATTGAGGATTTAATTCCTGAAGTATCTGATCTCGAAACAGAAGTCGATAATAATCAGGAATACAAAGAGCGCATTATTTACGCGAAAGTGAAAGTCAAGAATTATCTCCAGAATTCAGATAGAAATAAGGCATATTTGTCATTGAAGAGTAATTCTTCGCTTATTTCAAATAGTGAACCAGAGAAACCAAAAATAAATTTGCCAAACTTCATGTAGAACCGTTTGAGGGTAATTTAGTTTCAGGAATTTTGATCACAGTTTGATAATGCGATTCACATTAATGAATGCTTATCTAAAGTAGATAAATATATTTATCTTAAAGCTTTCTTAAAAGGACCAGCCTTAATTAGTATTCAGGGACTATTGGTATCAGAAAATAATTATGATTTAGAAGTGGAATTGCTTAAAGAAAGGTATGGGGAAAAAAGGAATTATTGTAAGAGCTTATATTAACCGTTTTTTAAATTTCTGTAATTTTGCTGTAAAATCGGCTTCATATTTGAAACAGTTACAAGAGTTATATGATACAATAGAAATCCAAGTATGCAATTTGCAAACTCTTGGTGTTGACCTGAATTCATACGGAAGTTTGTTGTTCCCACTACTAACCAAACTTATTCCAGATTCTATTGTGTTAGATTTTTGTAGACAGCATGAAAATGATGATTCTTGGAATGTAACAGAATTATTAATTTTTTTTTAGAAGGAAAATAGAAACACGAGAACAAACACTTTTGTTTCAACAAACAGGGGATAGTAATGATTCCGTTAAAAGCGTAGAACATAAACAGTCGTTTAATAAATTTTCAGAAAAGGGGAATAGATTCCAGAAGTTTAAAGGGAAGAAGCAAGATTTGATTCCTAACACAACAGCACTGAGCGCATTTCAGAAAATTTGCATTTTTTGCAATAATTCTGAACACAGTTCCAAAAATTGTGCTAAGGAATGTGAACAGAAATTAGAAAGTTTTAAATGACATGGAAGATGTTTTTTTGTGTTTGCAAAAAAATCATATGGTTCGGTCATATAAGTTAAAAGAGTGTTGTTTGACATGTAAGTGTAAACATTTTAGTTTGATTTGTGATGCCAAATGCCTCCGGCATCAGACACAGAGTCATGAAGAATTGATGAATGGTAAAATAAAAGATCAAAATAGTGTTGCAATGAATCATGATGAATTTTCTAACATTTCAACGTATTTGATTAAAGCAGTAATTAATGACAGTGAACCATTTGAATGTTTGATAGGTACAGTATTAGTTTAATAAAGCAGTATTAGTTTAATAAAGTCTTCAGTAGCTTCGAAATTGTAACTGCCAACACAATGGTAAATAAAAAAAAAAAAAATGTTTAATTGCGCATCTGCAGTGACCTTGGAAAAGTCTCAGGTTTCACTTCCAAATGACAAAATCCAAGCAACTGTGAATTACCATAGATGATAAGGCACAGCCACATGACCTAATTCTTGCAAGAGTTATTTTAAATTATCTAATGTCAGCTTATGGGAAAATAGAGGATTTATTTAACATATAGTATGCTAATAAAATTCCATTTGCGCAATTGATAAACAAAGTTAAGCGTAACCACATTAAGTTATATGCTGAGAAACCAATAGAAATAAACATGAACTTTGTGCATTCTATAAACCCCAGATATAAATAATGGACTGATTTTATTTCAAAACAAACAAGTCCAGATTCAGTAATGTAAGTTATTGATGGCAGAGTAACAGTCCCAGTTATGAACATAGTACACAATAACATCAGATTAAAAAGAAACCAGTGTATTAGTGAAGTAATAGATACAACAGAAGATTGGGAATTAAATAGACACACCTAATATACACAAAGATGAATCGTGTATTTTTCATTTCTCAAAATATTCACCTAATTAAGCTAGATGATGTTGTTAGATATTAATTACTTTGCTTGCCAATAGATGGCAGTGCCTCTAACCTGACTAGCTAGGCAAGTGCACGGTATTTGTGCTGCATCACACTCTCGTCACTTGCCGACAGCCATGTAACATCAATGTCTCTCTTATGTATAAAGTAATCTAATTTAATCTTATAAATAAATAGTAATTTATCTATGTTTGCCGAGTCAACATATATAACATGGTGTCGGAGTAAACCATGCTCACGAATTTAACCCCTTCGCGCCGGGTAGCGCGAACGCGCGCTTATCGTGGAGGCCGGCAGTGTCTTATGCAAGCGTCTGTCCAGGACCAGGGGCCTTTTTTGCCATTAAGCCTAAATCCATGAAATTTCCGAAGTATCAATGCATTGTTTAATAATGCTCTATAGGGTATTTAAACGGCTTATGCTTTACAGATATTTTTATATATACTTTACTTACCTTATTTCTTGTTTAAATGCATATTTTACACGTTTTATTTTCATTACTCACCGCTTTATGACTTTTAACATTTTACATCTAAAAACTAAATATATTACTTAAAATTCTCTTTTCGTATGAAAAATTTAAAAACAGGGATCTACACACAGTCCTACGTTACATTCCTTGCACTCGTAATAACTCATTTGCCGTTTTGGAGGATTTTTCCGGAAATGTGAACAAACATGTGAAGCATCGTCGTCTCATTTTCTTATCAGTCTCTTCTGAACAAAGTTTTGGAAAATGTCTTTCAGTTAATATTGGCGGATTTAATGATTCTGCTGATCTTGGCGTGATATTAACATTGGTGCTTTTAGAGGAATACCGATAAATAATTTGATTAACTAAATTAAGCCGATAATTCAGGAGAGGAAGATTTTTTTTACTTTTTTTTGTTGAAAAGAGTATTGGCCTTAAATACAGCCATGTCCATGATATTGAAGAAAAGCTTCTTATACCATTTAACAGTTTTTCTGAAAGATGGGTACTGAATAATGAGGGAATTGCAAATTCTGCAAATTTTCTATTGTGGATGACCATGGAGAAGTACTTGCTTTCTACGTACTCGGCATACAGATGTCCGAAATGTCCTCATCATCATTAGATTCGCCAGATTCTTTATGATCAGAATATATCATAGTATCACTATCACTACTATCAGAATCTGTTTCAGAATCAATATCTGA